GCAACAGTTGCTTTGCTTCATTTTTCCTCGAGTTTTTTTAAGTCGGTGTTAATTGAGATTTTGAAGGTGTGTGAAATTTATTAACACCCAGGCTCATTAGAAAGACGTTAGACATGTTTCCCCCCAGCGGTTCTGTTCCAGCTGAGGAAAAAGGTTTCTTCTGAGCCTGATCTGTGTGTGTTCTGCCTCTGCATCTGTGTCTAAGCTCATTAATCCCCTTCCAATCGGCCGTGACATGTTCATTAGCCTGCTGCCCGTTTGCATTGTTAATGCCAGGCCTTATCCGGAGCTACAATGTGTTTTCTGGTGTATTCATGTGTAGTTTAATAAGCTTGAGTCCAGAAAGAATATGTAGAGGCCAAGTGCACAGACAAGGCTGATGAGTGCTGTAACAAAGAGAAGTTGAAGTTGCAATTGAACTCGTTAAACATCTCGGAGGAAAAATCCCGGCGTGTTGAGCTCCTGCTGAAACGTGGCAGGAAACGGCAGCTGAGTCACCGCGTTGGATGAGGATTTGATTTCAAAGTAAACATCACAGAGTGAATTAATGATCAATTCGTTTCTTTTCTATTAACTCTTCATTTGCATCTGATCATTAATTCTTCAGATGTCAGAGCTTCATGATATAAATAATATTTGCAAAACTATCTGGAAATCTTCACATTTTGTGACGTTTTAACTGCAAACTTTCATTTGTTCTACTGGATTTTTTTGCGATAGACATAACTGTACTTTGGAAACATGATGTGACATAAATGTAAAGTGCAATGAAAATAAGTGTCACCCCCTGAGTCTGGACTTTAACTAGGTCATTCTAACACATCAGTATGCTCTAACCTGGTCCTGTGTATCTCTGGTTGTTGGTTTTTATTTGTTATCCTGCTGGACAGTGAAAGGCTCTTTTTTTGTTTTTGCCTTTCTTTTTTGGCATATAACATGTTTTCTTCCTACTTTTACCCAAAACACTACAAAAACACAAAATTTTACTCAGTATTTTTGGTCTAGTTTCTCATTCAAATATCTTACTCCTTGAAATAAGACACAATTAACATATAAGCAATTTTTCAATGAGATACAGGAGCTTGTTTTAAGTCAAAAATTTCTTAATATTGATAAAAAACTACTTGTTTCATTGGCAGATTACTTCACTTATAGCAAGACATTTTCCCATGTTATGAGTGAAATAATCTGTCAATAGAGCCAGTACTTTTTTGTCAATATTAAGGGAATTATTTTCTTAAAACAAGCCCCTATTTGTTGCTGAAAAGTCATTGATGATTTAGTTTTGTCTTATTTCAAGTGTAGTAAGATATTTGAGCTAGAATCTTGCAGTTTAAATGTTGCCACCATTTTCAATAAGGTTCCCCGTTACCTACTGAAGAAAAGCACCCACAGCATGATGCTGACATCACCATGTTTCCTCCATGCAGATGGTGCATTCAGGATGATAAACAGTTTTGCCTGAAAGGCAAAAAGTTCAACTTTGACTCATCTGACTTGAACACCGTCTTTCTTGTCACCTGATTTGTAGCAAACTTAAGTAATTTTCCACTTCTTTGATGTTGCATTACATGATATATCAATACTTGTGGATGTACCATAACAAAACGTGACAAAGCTCAAATACCTTTGACAGGGCACTGCGTCGGTGTTTCCTTTGGTAAACCAAGTAAAGTCCAATAAAAGATAAATGGAATAAAATCCTGTTTTTGACAGCAGGCTTGTGTATCCTCCTCCTCTCTGCCCACTCAGGGTGATTCCCCATTGGCCTCATATATCATTGTCATTATTCCCTGATGCCTCTCTGCATTGTTGGGCTCTTGTCTAGTTGATGCATTGGACCTTTAAACATCACAGCTCTCCTGTTGGTTGCTGCTGCAGAAGTGTTATTCTCCAAAAGGGACAGAGAGTTGTAAAATAAAAATAAAAAAGCGGAGTTTATTGCTGTGCTGTGTACTGGAACATCAAGCTGTCTTTGATTTGTCTCTGTGTTCTTGTATTACATTTTAAGTGTTTTGATTTATGGCAGATGACAGACTGGAATTGCAGGATGAGGTGTTGTTGTGAATTTTCAATTATTTTGAGCTCTGTGCTGTTTGTGGGTCATGTTTTTGAATTTATCCGTCTCTTCTGAAGATTGTAGAGATTATAAGATGAGGATGAGTGTTGTCTGGTGCAACCGAGTAACACTTTGCTGCTTTCCTTGATTAGAAGAGGATTATTGACAACCGACTGGCAGCAACTCAAGTTACTAGCCAGTTTTTCAGTTCATCTCTGTTGAAGAAAATGTTTTAATTATATATTTTTGTCTGTACTCTTTTTCTGGACAATGACAGATGCCTGGTAATTCTTTCTATAAGCTGACAAGTCTTCTTCAGCGGTCAGTCGCAGGCCAAACATTATTAAGGCTGAAGATTTTCCTCTGTGGACTTTATGTTGTTGAAGGAAAAGGACATGCAGTGTTTTCGCTTCATTTTAAATTCTTCATTCACATTTGTCTCAGTTCCTCGTTTTTGTCAAAGATGGAAAGTCAAACATTGATTGGGAGAAAAATCCATTTCACTTTGGGCTGATGTTCAACACAGGTTAAAGTTAAACTCCGACTGATTGAAGGAGCGCTGCAAGAGGCATGTCTGAATTTATCAAGTGCATGTCCTTCAGTGTGCGATTGCCAAAGCAGACAAAGAAGAAGTTCAACTAAACTGAAAACAAACAACTTCACCGCAACTTACAGGAAGTTAAGCCTTTAATTAATCGTACAGCACAAGAAATAATGTTTATTTGTTTGGTTCTATCAGCTACAGTTTGACTTCTTCTCTTTCCTACTGGAGTGTTTTCTTCTGCTGAGATGTTAGCGGTTCATAAATCAGATTTCCTTCCGCTAGCCAACATAAACTCTTCATGCTGTCCGTTAGGCTTTTATTTCTTTTCTTTTTCAGGCTTATTTCTATCAGTTTTTCATGCCCTGATGCTTTGATGTCTCCCTTGGTCTACCTGGATGTTTCCCCTGTCAGAATCCTGCTTTGTTGTTTTCTTCTTTTTCAAAATGATTAACTCCTTCTGCAGCTCTCCGTGAGGATTTCACTTCCACAAAGATGTTTATAACCCTTTCCCGTGAAGGCCTTCAACTGCTGTTTTAACTGCAGCTCCTTTTTAATATTTGTATTTGTTTTAGAAAAGCAATTCCTTGACTTAAACTGGAAACTGTCATCACAAAGCCAACTTTCAGCTGTTGAGAAAAAAAAGCTTTTTTTCTTATCTGTGATTTCAGATGATCAAACACAACACTCAGTTGTGTGATAGATTTTAATATAAGACCGTCCATAAATCTAAAAAATGTTTTTTAATGATATTACTCCGCTTCCCCCTAATCACTGTCAACCATCTCCTTCTCAACCTTTTTATCTGTTCTCCATCAATTCTTCAAGTGTCTGCCCTTCATATCAATAACGCTCATCGCGTTTCTCTCCCGCTCTTCAGCTTTCAGTATCTTCTTTTCAGATTCATCTCTGTCCCTGGGTCATCCTCTTTGCTTTGGTTTTTAATATTCAGCCCATCTTTATGTCCTATTTTAAACGGTTCTAGTAGAAGAGCGTCCTCTCCTGATCCTGTCTCCATTGTCTTTCCTCCCTCGAGTCACAAAAGAGACCCTGAAGGTCTCGTGAAGGTTGTTGCATTTCCATCTTTAATGTTTCAGGGTTTTTATTTTTCCGCTGTGGTTTAGCATATTGATTCGTGACACACGCGCCAGCAGGGTTTTAACTGTAAGAGCTGTTTTTTAAGGCACAGCAGCAGGTTCCTGGGAGCTGCAAATACTTCATTATGTAAGACGTGTTTACCAGATGCCAATTTCATTTGTCTTCATCTTTGCTGCTGCTTTCTCTGATGTAAATTAGATCTGAGCTGTTAGTGCATTTTCATCTCTTGTTATCATCTTTTTCATAAAGCACGAATATTGAGATTCTCAAACATTTTAACTTGAGTAGAGACATTTTGCATGAAAGATCTCTTAGCATCTACATTTCAGAAAGTTTGCTTGCGCTGATGTTTGATACCAGAAATTCTTTTTGTTACCTAATAGTTATTAAAATTTCATTATTGAGTCTGCTAGAGTATTGAATTTTATCTGTTCACTGTCAAAGTACGATGGTTAAATGGCTTTCAGAGCTGCTAAAGCAAATTAACGAAGTTCTTTCCCACTGCCAGCTGCAGGTGTCGCTCCACTGCTTTAAGAACTACAACTTATCCACAAAACTGGAGGTAGATTGAGGGGAGTAACCTTCAAGAAGATAAACCTGTAAGCTCTGACAACATGAGAGATTACATTATGCCGTTTGCTGCAGGCTCCGGTGGACCAGTTTGTGGTAACTTGAGATAATTAGACCATTTTATTATCTTTGACTGGACTGCGTAAGGCGGCTGATATTGCTTGACTGAAAATGAATGCTGCTTGTCTTGCGGATGAGTAAAATAGATTAAAGTCATCTTAATGTCAACACATTTGTTTGGCAGAGTTTTCCTCGGTGTATTACAAGCCTGGCGGGCCACCAGGTTTTACTGGTGCCCCCGCCAGGCTTAGCAATGTTAATTTATTTTATTTTATTTTTTTAAAATAATTGCCTTTTTAAAGGCTTTATAGTTGGTCTTTATGTATTAATCTTCCAGTTTTCCAATAACGCACAACTATCAAGTGATATTTCCAAATATCCTGTCAACTATAAACATGTTTTACCTCAGAAAGATGACGGGCAGCTGGATGACGAACCAGGCACTGGGCTCAGCAAGTTTTCTGTTTGGGATCATTCTCAAGTTAGAAAACAACCAGTTGTGCTATCAAATTTTATATATGCACCAGATATAATTTACTCTTTTGCTCAACATATACGCAAATATTTGGTTCCTGTTTAACCTTTTCAGAGCAGCAAGGAGCTCGGTTTTAATATTCAACGCATTGTTTCATCTCACTAGACCTGGTCTTTTTTTATTTTTTTTTTATGCAGCCCAAGCAACGCACGTCCCTGTCTTCCTCTCTGGATGTCCAGAGGCCAGTCAACCACAGCTGCGAACCCAGTGAGGTGAGCTCGTCTCTGGGCTACGCCAGCTTCAGCACCAGCCCTCCCGCCAGCCCCCCCCTCAGCCCCAATCAGGAGGACTCTGCAGGCTCCAACGACGATTGTCAGCTTACAGGTAGAGCCCTGGTGTCTATTTCCAACTAAACGACCACTGTTTTGAGAAGAAAAAACATTAAAACCTGCACATGTAGTATGTTTATCCATCTGCTGGCGTAGTTATAAGTGGTTTTAGCTCAATAGTTTATATGACTTTTGGCTTTAAGGGTAAATTTGTTTTTTTATTTGTCGCTGCTGTTCTTTTTTCGCTGCATCTTTGTTGCCAGAGAGAGCACAGAAGGTAATCGCTTCTGCCCCGGGGACCAAATGAGATCTTATTCCCTTTGCCCTTGGTGTGAAGAAATTGAAATCATATTTCTGCTCCTGTCACACAGGAGGGTAAACCCAAGAGGTAGACAAACACCTTATAGGCAGAAGTCAGATCTCTGGAAAAAGACTGTTGGCCTCAGACTGAGGTGGCAGAAAGCTTTCCATTCAGACTGAATAGGACTGCAGAATTCAGAAGCTATCACAAGTTAAGTTGGTTTTATCTAATCTCAGGAAGTAAAGATATTTAATTGAGATACCTTATATTTTTACTAAAATCAACCATTCAAAGTCAAAAAGTATTTGTAGATGTCATAAGAAAATATTGGCTTCATATCTCAAGAAAACACAGTTTGCAATTTCAAGATAATTAAATATTTTCTTTTGAAATAACATTATTCATTCATCATGTTCTGCCTGTCATCAAAATGAGTTTGACTCATTTTCCTGTCGACACTCTTCAGCTTTAGCTATTAGTAGCTAGCTTAAATTAATATGTACAATATTAGATCATCCACTTACACTAGCTGATATGCTAATAATATGTTATATTCCAGCAGTAGTTGATTGTACCTTTTTCTGCTTGAAAGTCCTATTTTAGAAATACAAGAAATCACTATTTAATTAGAACAGGGACATTTCTTCTCTGTGCAAATTTTACAAGAAATTATTGTAATTTTTTTTGGATACCTAAAATAAGTTTTAAAATGTTCAGTGTGCTCCATGTTATGTCCAGTGTGCACTTTATGGCTGAAGTCATTTTTTTCTTAACAAATTAGCAGCTGCCTGTTTGACTGTAGCTCTTGTGAATCAATTTGTAAGCTGACAATTGGATAAGATCATCGCTCTCCAAAGGAAAACTTCACAACATATCTCAAGATCAAGGTTTCAAAACATCAGCAGAAAAAGTTACTTTGGTTCAGTGGGGAGTCCTTTTTACTGTCATAGCAGATAAAGTGTTGTTGGTTTCATTTAATGATGCTTGTTCTCCCCTGCTGAGTCTCAGTCTCATCTCCAAATGGAATAGAAGCGAGAATGAAATGAGGTGATTTAACGATTAAGTTGCTCACAGACATTTATTAAAGAAGCAGATGATAAAAACAAACAGATTTCCTTTCGCTGCTTCTCTGTCAGATTCACCTCTGACCTTCATGTCATTGATGTCATTTCCTTGTCAAGCTGCTTGTGTTACCATAGCAGTGGGACTCTTCGTTGTCATGGCGAAGCAGTGGCCTTGGTTACACTCATTAAGCAGTGATGTAATCATTGGTACCTCTGTGTCTCACCTGGCTTTCAGTCCAGCTGTCCCTCACACATGCACACCCACACACACACACACAAACACCTCTACACACTACTACCAGGCACAGAGTGGGAGCAGGAGAGAGAGAGTGTGTGTGCGTGTGTGTGTGTGTGTGTGTGTGTGTGTGTGTGTGTGTGTGTGTGTGTGTGTGTGTGGGTGTGTGTGTGTGTGTGTGTGTGTGTGTGTGTGTGTGTGTGTGTGTGTGCTTGTTTCATCCTACTGCAGTTGAGAAACCCTGCTGGACTTTGATCGGTGTGGAGCCTGAAATGAAAAAAAAGAACACACCATCAATCCACAGGTGTGCGTGTGTGCATGTGTGTGTGTGTGTGTGTGGGTGTGTGTGTGTGTGTGTGCAGCAAACACACACTGACTTAAAAAGAGTGAAACCCTGAGACATCTTGTGCTTTTATTCCCATTGAAGTGCTGCAGGAGTTGTGGTGTAGCAACAAGTTGTTTCCCTCTTGGCTTGATGATGATTTCTTCTGAGGAACTAATCAAAGTCAAACATTTCCCGTTTTGACCTTCAGCATCTTCCCTATGTTTTCCATAGGAACACATTAGAAGTCCCACTCGAGCATCTCTTAATCCTTTGTGACCTGTAATAGCATGAATGTGTCTTTGGTGTTTTGTCCTGTATGCAGTGAATGGGATTTATGAATATGCTAATTTGGCTCTGCTTACATCGAAGCTTCCCAATAGACTTTCCTTCCATAATGGAAAGAGCAAAGCAAATTAAAATAATGATATGAACTTTCTGTGGGAATCAGAGTGCAGCAGCTTCGTCACTTTTGATTCTTGGTGGTCGTGTCCAGCACAGGTGATTGGAATATTGTAGGAGAGCAAGATGGTTGAAAGAAAACCAGCTGTGAGCTGTGGAGTGTATGATTTGTTCAACATTTAATAATTTTGGTTTGTGAGCAGGTTCTTTATTTTTTTAAATGCACAACAACTCAACACAACAGGCTATTGTCTGGGTGTTGTTCAATTCAATAACATCGGCAGGAGAAAAATGAAATAATCAAATGATTGCAAATTAGTGTGTTTGGGAGCAAAGTTGAGAGCTGGTGTTTAAGTGACACAAATCCAGCATTGTCATTTTGGATAAATAGTTTTTCTTTGAAAGAACAAAAATAACACTGAGACATCAAAGCAGGAAGATTCCCCAATCCAGCTCTCTTTTTCAATTGCTGTGGTCTTTACAAGAATGCCTTGATGTGATTTTGTGTACAGTATATGAAATAATGAATCCATAAAAAGTGAGAGAAAACATTGAAACTGAAATAGTTCACGTAAATAAATAACCAAAGATCGCATATTCCATAAAACAGAGTGAATTTCTTCTTTAATTTAGCTTCAAGCATTTGCATAAGTGAATCCATAATCCACCGTATTATTTTCTTAGAGTGACTACTTTGTAAAACACAGGGAGATCATTAATAGTGCATGCAAATATGCAATAGAATATAATTTTCGTTTATTATTTTGTTACAACCCGAAACAGAACGGTGTCCTGGACCGAGAGCCTCATCTCCCATATAAAACAAATCAACTTAATTAGCGGTTTAAAACAAATGTCTAACAAGCCTAAAGTTTCTTTTAATGAAATGTACAATTACTTTAGCCTTGACAACAATGGTAATTTGATTTTGATATAAAATTGTTAGAAATGTTTCTAGGACATAAAGAAAGACAACAAAGTCAGAGTTTTCAGAGTATATGTGCTTTTTCTAATGATAAAAATCAAACATAAAACCTCAACAACATCCAAATACTTAAAACATTTTACTACATAGCACTCTGTTTTGTGTTAGGCATTTCTCCTCCCCACCTCCTTCGCTCTTTCTCTCTTTTCCCCTCTCTCTCTAGTTCACTGTCTAAACTTCCTGCACCAGGAATAGATTGGCACCTATTTATTTTTTCCATTTAAGTTTTTTTTCACAATTCCTCCCCTCCTCCTCCTCCGTTTTCTTCTGCCGCTCTGCTCATCCCTCCTGCTCTCTCCACTTATTAGCCGTGTACGGCTCATTGTGGGGTAACCATGGTAACTAGAGGCTAACAGGGAGGGAAGCGACGCAGACAGACCGAACAGAGCGGCGCTACATGCATGTGGGTACAGAAGACAGAGTCTCGGGATTCAAAGGATGCCAGTGAAGAAAGCGAGTGGGTGATGGAGAATGGGAATCTTGTGTTGCAGGGAGGGGATAGGGATGCAATGTGAGAATTAAAAACGAGGACAAGGAAGTGAGGAATCACTTTTATTATTCTGCACACCATACAAGGTGCTTCCTTCCTTGCCTTCACATCTGTCTCTCCTCTCATTTTCTTCCCTAAAATCTATAAACCGTTCTCTGATGCTAAGCTAACAGTACACACAATGATCCCCACCCCCCACTCCTCCAGCCATGCAGCAGTTTTTGCTGGTGTCAGCCACCTGCGTAGGCTGCTGGACAAAAAGTAGCCCTATTTATAACCCAATCTATCACCAGGGCTGCTGTTTTGCTACATAACTCAGCTTTATGCAATCCCAGCCACAGACAGAGTACCAAATGCAGTGCAGTGTTTATGCAGAAGCAGTTGCAGTCCATGAATTATGCAGAAGCCCCCTTCAATAAGTCGGTAACAAACATGCACCAACCTGCAGGTGTCAATTTGTTTATCTGGAAACGCGTTAGTTGCTGAAAACTTCATAGCTTCTCGTAAGCTCTTTTTTTTCTTTTTTACATTTATTTACTTATTTTTTTATGTTTTGCAGCAGCTTTCTACTTTAAAGATTTACAGTTGCAAAAGATAGTTTTTAAATTTAGACTGTTGAGTCATCTGAGTACTGTACAGATTGTCTTTTCCACCTTGGCTTCACTTTTTGATTAATTTTTCTTTGTCAAATTTCTATTAAACTAACAGTAGACCTCTGTTTTTAAGTGTAAAGGAGTTTAAATGATGATCAATACAAGGTTTAATTCATTCATTCAGTTATTTTCAATGAAATAAGGAATATTTGTTATCTGCTTATCAGAATATTATTACATAGAGTATTATGAAAGGGGACTATTGCCTCCAGAAAGAAAAACAAAAAATACTTTTTCTTAGATTTAACCCTAATTTTATAGTTTTAGCCAGTTATTTGTTGTTGCCAATATTCATCACAAACCCATCTCACTATAGAAGTCTGATTATTTTGTGTCCATTTTGCTCTTTTGTTCAGAGCTAAACATTCTCACTCACCTCACAGTGCAAACAGCCCAACCGAGACAAAACCAATCAATGATCTTGATCAATTAATGAGCCTTTAGTACCTAAACAATGGACAGTGTTGTGTGTTTGACTGCACTGCTTGTTTTACACAGATAATCCACCTTAAACTCATTAAACTGATGAATCATAAATATCACTTAGCCCACCTGCACAACATAACTTGATGCATAATTTTAAAATCATTCTTTTATTTTGTA